TCTTGTATCAGTCAGATTCTATTTGATGGTACACACAAAATACAATTTAAAAATATATTCAAATATTTACTGAATGACATTTTGAGAATGTTATAAACTTAGGAAAACCCTATATAACTATGCTGTTTTATCTATAGCGCTTCATGTCCAAGCTAAACAGTACTTGCTATATCCCACGTTTGCAAGGTTTAGAAACCGAGACTTAAAACCATCACTTCCTAATGTTTTTAACTGAGAACTATGTCTATCAAGGGGTGTATTAAATGTAAGCTTACTCCATGTAGCCTATGTTCACTAATTATGGCAATGAATTTCTTGGACAACTCATTATTTCTTTCTTTTGCAGCAAGTTAATTAGGGTATAATAACTTGACATTTATTTGCCAAAACATCCTCTCTCCTTGGTACTTACTGAAATTTTTTATATGAGTGATAACTAAATTAGATAGGACACACGTGTATTTAAAGAGGTTAAAGAGGATAGTATACTGACTTTTGACATCTAAAATAAGAAAATTTCAAGTATAAGAATAATCAGGGACCAATAACATTGAGAGGTATTTGAGGGAAAGATCTAGTCACTATTTATTACCTAATATGAGTAGAAGAGTTCAAATCAGTCAAACAGTGGGCTCACACCATTACTAATTATTGAAGTGGGAGCCTCTTCCAGGTACCAGGTGTACAGACTGTTCCAATACGGCACCTGCCATCATAAAGCTTAGACTTTACACAGAGACCAACAGTAAACAAGGAAGCCATAAAGGTCACCTATGATAGTACGGGGTGTGAAGGAATGATGACAGAACGTGTTCCTGGGGAGACTCAGAGACCACAAGCGGCTGAGTGCGGCTGAGCAAAGCCAGGGAGGTGAGCCAGGCCTGTACGTCGCACTCAGCGAAGGCCTTGGATTGGATTGTCGGTTAACAAACCACTGAGAAGGAAGAAACGTCTTCTTCCACCCAAAGTGACTCCACATAATTAGACGACTGTACAGGACAAAGATGCCTCTGACGGCTGTGGATACTTTGGTCACGTGTGTTCATCATAACAAATCGACTCATGACTCAAATCGAAATCTATTTTTACAATTTAATGTCTTCGGAAAAGATTCCCTAAGATTTTACGCACCTAGATCCAGACGGCTCTTGTTAAGTGTCCCTCATTCACTTTCCTTGACCATACCCCGAAATAAAAAACACACAGCTTTCTCTCTATCTTTCATACACGGTATTTTTACTAGTCCTTCCCAGAATTCTCATAATCATGCAATGGGATTCTTTTTCTTTCTCTTTTTTTTTGTAAATGGGAAAATTCAGATTTGAGAAATTAAAGATATATTATTGTCTACCTTTACAATCTCTAGTAGCAGTAATAAAAATGACGACGATAACCACAAGACCTCTATACAGGGAAACCACAGTGTTTGACGGTTTCCAAAATGATTCATCCAGTCGTCATGAATTCTCAATGATTGTGGCAAAAAAATGTTTAAAAGGCTTCAAATGCACAGAAGCCTTTATGGGAGATACAAATGAAAATAAAGAAAAATACCAGAAAGGTAATGATTCTTTTAAATTAAATATTACCACCACATAAAAATGCAGCACACATATTTTTTACAAAAAAGACAACTTAAGGTGTATATATAATAGACTTTATTAAAAATATTTATATAAAATGCACAAAACCTGTAACGGTTCATAACCTTTAAGGCTTTGAAGGAGCAGATATTTACATATCTTTCCTTCTGCCTGTGTGTGTGCGCGCGTGTGTGTTTTGTATATATTTTTAACAGTTGACAGCTGTTTTGGAGCATACAGAGATGCCAAGCTGAATGAGGGTCTTGATTACTTCAAGATTAGCTATCTCAAGTTTCTATTCATTTTAAGTGTTGTTAGTTGGAAGAGTCATTAGTCACTTCCTTGTCTCATAGAACATCAGCATACATTTACATTGTTAATGAACATTTGGGGTAAATGAATTAATGGCACTTTTAAACATCAATTCAGTCCTAATAACTTTGTATGTCACAGAAATGTTAGACTAGGATATAAACGAAAAGCCTTTTCAGTAAAGGTAACTACTCATTCCTGCAAACAATAAAAGATAAAATTAATTTAAAATGTTTTTTGAACTGGGCTAAAAAAAAAAAGATAGTATTTAATGAAACAGACCAGAGCAAAAGATGCACTCACAGCACACACAGACACATAACTGGGCTTTAAACTAAGCACAGAGGTCAGAGATGGGGAAAACTACCCAGTATAACAATTTTATATACTTGTAACACAAATACATATTTAAAATTATTCATGAGACATTCTGATTAAAAACAACCTGATATATTTTATTAAGAGAATTTTTTATAGGTATTATATTTAAGAAGAAACATCACGATCAATGGACTTGGTTAGGAATGATGGGATATATATAGCATGCCTGAAACATTCTGACACACAAATATTTTAAAGAGATTATTTTAGGAACTTAAAAATGTATCTTAACATGAGAAAATTTTCACAATTTAAATGTATAGTGTTTGTTTTCTTTTCTTTTTTTTTTTTTAAAAAAAAGCTGTCTCAAAAAACCTCCAAACTCAAACTCATTGTCGAGCAGTTAAGAAGCAGCTCAGAGATTTCAACCTCCCGCAGATTTTCAGAGGCTGCAAACCACACAGAAGGCTGACCATTTTCCTCTCACAAAGCAGCTGGTGGATTTGTGTCGCCTGTCTCTGTGTTTGCAGCCCAACTCTACCCACCAGGCCATCAGATCTCCCCCAAACAACACCAAAAAGTATGACAGAAATATCAAGTATTTAAAAACAAAAACATAGGTCTTTTTACATTTAAAAATATGTAAAAACAATAATAAAAAAAAAACACCTTACATGTCAACAAAAAGACCATAACGCTTTTAAAAGAAAGTACAGTTATCGTGACTTGGGGCTTGTTTTTCAGGAATGATTTTTATATATGATGACAAATGACCTAGGACATAAACTGGATTTTCTCAGAATTAAAATTTTCCATTTACCAAGAAAGGGTTTTTATCAACAAAGTGAAGGGGCAACCTTGGCGGGGATAAGAGAACCAGGGCAACAATAGATGTGAAAACATTCAGAATATGCCAAGGAGTCCTACAATTTAAAAGCAACAATGCCGTGCACCCCACAGGCGCAATGACTTTGTAAATTATTACCTAACTAGGGAGGGACTGGAGAGCATTATGCTGAGTGAACTAACTCAGTCTCACAAGGATAAATATTGTATAAAACCGTTATTGTAGAATGAGTATAAGGATCCAGGAGGGGTGGGAGAGAGTGGAAGCAGAGGGATGTGGATGTGCAGGGGGAAGAGGGGATTAATCATTGGGTTGTACAATTTGATGGGGGAGGGGGGAGGGAAACGGAAAGAATTTGTTTGAATTTGTATTAGAATTTTATAAATAAACTAGTAAAAAGGAAAAAAAATCATCTTGGAGAGGGATAAAGAAGGGAGAGGGAGTAAAATGTGCAACAATGAATGAATGAATGAAAATCTAACTTTTCTGCAGACTTGTGTTAAAAATGACAAAATTAAAAAACTTATTTAAAAAATATTTTTTCTTCAATGAATGAATGGAAATCTGAAGTCTCTGTAAACTTTCATTAAAATTAATTAGAAAAGAAAAAAATAAAAGCAATAAAATATAATGAGGAAAAACTTAAACATAATTTAACCAAATGGAAAAAAGCAAATAAACAAATAGACGACATGTGGCATCAGAACTAAAATGAGGTGTCGTGTCACAGTTACTAAGATGGCTTGAATACAGAAAGAAAACTGAATGCTTTCATCATGATGTAGAGAAATAGGGCCTCTCAAACAAGGAGAGGATTAGAATAAAATGGCACAGACACTGTGCAAAATACAGGGACAGTGGTGCCAAACGTTCTACACACACCGTGCCTACCACTTGGAGAGGCCACATCATACAGCCATTCCACGCCCAAGAATGTACCCCAAACAAATGAAAGCAAGAACACAGAGACTCATCACTAATGCTCACTGCAGATCCATTCACAGCGGCCAAAAGGTAGAGACAGGCCACACGTCTATAAACATATGAACCAAGTCGCAAACTGTGGAACACACAACAGAGCCATTAAAAAAATGAAGCTGTGACGCGAGCTACAATAGAAACCAACCTTGAAAACACTGCTGAGTGAAACGTCAGGCACAAAAGAACAAACGTATTAAAGTATCTAGAAAAGACAAGTGTAACACTCAAACACTGCCGGGAGTCAAGTTCAACTCCGTGGGGTTTCTGAGGCTGTAAATTTGCTGGGTGGAGCCAGGCCACATGGCCAGCGATGAGTTCAAACTGGGCATCTTTCGGGCACAGTCAACTCCCAGCCCGCACACCTCCCCGTCTCTCAGGCAAACGCAGACCGATTCACTTATTTTTGGTTAACAGGGAAGGAGGAGGGAGGGACAGCGGGAAGTCAGTGCTTAGGGAGCGCTCAATGTCTGCGATGAGTGAAGGAACAATCTAGAAATAGTAGTGATGGTTGGACTACGTGGTAAATGTAGTTTACGTCACTGAGCTGTACAGATAAAGTAGAAATGACAAATGTCATTACATTCACCTATCCACATAAGTTTTGAAAAAGAAGAACCAGGCAAGTCTAATCCCAGAACAATCTCCCCTTGGGGTGAGGGCTGAGGGGGTCATTCTGGCAAAATCAACCCCACAAGATTAGGTTTTTTAAGAAGATGATTTACAACAAGAGCCATTTTGCATGTCAACATCCTTATGCTGAAGTCCTTTTTTGGTTTATGATTTTTGAAAGCAGAATGACAGAGCACTCGGCATCCGGCCCATGTTTCTGGGGTGTTCACGTGGGTCAGCACACTGTGCCTTTCACCTTGCCTTGAGGAGCTTTCTGGAAAGGCTCGCCCACCAAGCCGTCTCTCCAGGTCCCCAGCACCAGGACAGGGAACCCCTGGGGCACTCACCGCTAGGCCTGTGGGAATATATGGACAAGGGGTCAATGCCCACTTCTTGTTCTTCCGGCTGCAGGGGATGTCGGGTTTCCGAGGAGGAATGATACATGGTGCGTACTGGCCCACGTCTCCAGGAGCGGCTCCCTACAAGGCAAAAATACAGAGAAAATGTTTTTATTCTTTCTGTACTAACTGCGAATAAGTGCGTGCAACACTGAAATGATTAAATGTACTTTAAAGCAGCAGTAAGATTCCCAGGCTCCAGGGACTGTCCCCACACAGTGTGTGTGGAAAGCTGACATAAAATTTCCCTTCAAACAATTTCAAATTTTGAACTTTACTTGTACCCTTTTAACTGCAATGTTGGATTTCATTTATGTTCTATAAACTATGGCACAAAAGGCTAAACTAAGAATAAAATGATCCTCATATGACTAAGGTCCATGATACAGGCCATGGTTTTTGCAATCACTTGTTATGCATCAGAGAGTTGGACAATGACTAGGGAGGACAGGAGAGTTGATGCCTTTGGGCTGTGGTGCTGGAGACGAGTACTGAATGTACCATGGACTGCCAGGAAAACAAACAGATTCATCCTGGAGAGGGTTAAACCAAGCTACTCCTTGGAGGCAAGGATTCTGGGGCTTCGTCTGACATACTTTGGGCATGTTGTAAGGAGAGATTGGTCCTTGGAGAGGGACATCATGCTGGGTAGAGTAGAGGGACAGCACAGGAGAGGAAGGCCCTCTATGAGGTGGACTGATTCAGTGACTGGGGTAATCGGGATGGGTGTGTCAGAGGCAATGCGATTGGCACAGGATAGAACAAGGTTTAGGGCTGTTGTACATAGGGTCGCTATGAGTCGCAAACGACTCGACGGCACATAACAACAACAACATACTCCTTTACTCATCAAATTGTGTGACCCTAAGATAAAGAAAAGGGGAAAGACCCAGTGTGAAAAACAATGTGTATGAACTTCATGAACTTTGGATGTAAACCAGTATAAAATAAGGAAACAAATATTCTCCTATTTGTAACAATCTTTTGGTTAACTGTCAAAGTAATAGACATTTCTCAATAAGAAAACTTCAACATATACAAAAATCCTCATTACCATTGAGCCTGAACCGACCCACAGCTGATCCTGTGTTGAAATTCCCAAAACTCCCGGTTTGAATCCAGCAGCTGGTCTGAGGGAGAAGGACAGGCAGTCTCCCACCAGTGCGATTTACTGCCTCTGAGACCCCAGTCAAAGGTCAGCGAGGAGTCAGTTCTGATTCCACGGCACACAACAACAACAACAACAACAAGGTAGGGAGAGAAAGAGACCAGACCTAAGAAACAGGAGAGGGAGAGATGGTGGGATCTCTGAATAACTGGAACACTATGTTAATTTTTTCAAGCGATGGTAAATACCTAGGATTTTATGGGAAGCCTGATAACTGTTGTTAGGTATTAGACGAATAAATGACCCTCAGTCACAATGACCCTGCACACAGGAGAATGAAACCACGGCTGGTCCAGTCCTGGCCCTCCAGCAGTCCCTGTGTCACCACCCTCTTGTGGGTCTTTCTCTTTTTCCTTCCCTCACCACGTTATACTGCTCCAAGGACCGGCTGGCTCCCCCTAATTATGTGTCCAGAGTACTTGAGACCAAGTCCCACCGTTCTTGTTCTAAGAACTCTGGCTATATTTACTACACAGGAGACTTGTCTGTTCTTGTGTGTTCACTACTTTGTGCCACCACCATCGTTCAAATGCATCAATTCTTTAATTCTCCTCATTCATCATTTCATTTTTATGAGGATACGTTGTAAATGAAGATACCTGGCGCAGGTCAGGTGTACCTTATCCTCAAATTCCTATGTTTGCCTTTGAATGTCTTAAGTAAGGAGATCTTTTGCAGATTTGACAAATGCAGTATGTCATTTGATTTATCTACTGTACCCAGGGGCATCAATAAATGATCCAAGTAAAATTCAGTCCTTTTGAACATCGATATTATTTACCACAATGTTGCTTACTGGTCCAGTTGTGAGGATTTTTATTTTAGGGTAAACTGTCCTTTATACTGAAGTGTTTTAAGTCCTCTTAATTTTAAGCGAGCAAAGTTGTGACCTTTGTGTTGGCTGGGGGTCTTCCTCTGATCCCAATGCTGTGTTACCCACAGAATCCAACATTTTGGGTTACTGGCTCAGCATACAGACTGCATGAATATGGTGAAGGGATACCCCTGCTCCTGATTTTTAACCCACACCATACCCCTAACAAGTGGTGGTAAGGAATTTATATTAAAAGAGACGAACAAAGGGGAGCTCTGGTGGCCTAGTGGTAAGGAGCTGCAACTACAATCCCAGAGGCGCATGGTTTGAATCCACCAGATGCTCTGCCAGGGAAGGAGGGACAATCTCCTCCTGTACCAGTCAGATCTGATTTGACGGTACACTCACACAAAAATAATAAAATTTTTAAAAAATTTAAAAAAAGAGACGAACAAAACTCTGAAATACATTTCAAAATTGCTATAAGCTCATGGACAACTGTATTAGTAGAATATTTTCTTTATAATTCATATTATCTGTTCATTTTGTATACTTTTAAGGTATGATGCTATCGAGTATTTGGAAATTTTTTTCCCAATTTAATGAGTACATTTCTGTAAGATTTATTTAACATACTAGTTTCACAGTCTCATTAATTTTTTTATTTTTATAGTATGTCTATTATTACAGGTTTCAAATACTTAACAAATGTAAAGGATTTGGATTTTGTAAATGTTTTATAAGAAGCAAACTGGCAAAAAATTTTATTTTAAAAAGAACATTTTCTTTAAAACCACAACAACTCTGTCTTGCAGAGCTCTGGTAGCTTAGGATAAGGAGCTGCACTGCCAAGCAAAAGGCAGATGGTTCGGATCCATCATCTGTTCTATGGGAGAAAGCAGAGTATTCTCTTTCACTGCAACTTCCCCCCTCTGACAACCCACTGGAGGGCCAGCTATGGCTTGGTTCTCTATAAGCAGGCCTAATTGAATATGAAACTATTTTTAGAATATTCCAGTTTGTGTTACATGAATGTATGGAGACAAAATATTTGCTGCAAAGAAAATCAAAAGCCTTTATACAAAGGTGTTTATCTTTCCATTGAGATTATGAATAAGAAAGTTTTCTCTGTAAATATTGGTCTGAATATGATAAAAATTCAATTAAAGAACTGAGAGAATTTGTCAAGAACATAATTTTTAAAATAATCACTATCAAAGCCAAAACCAGGAAAACTTTTTGTACCCATAATGGCCCATTACATTCTAGAACTATTTTACAAACTCAGACTTCTGAAACCTCTATCCTGAATTTTTTCTACAGAGAAGCTAGCTGCCAGATGAATAAAAATACTGATGGAGAAAAATGTATTAATACCAAAATTACACGTCTTAGTAAAGATATGATTATTCAAATCCATAGCGGATAGATCCTGGCTTTCTTACACGTTGTATAACCAACCACCTCTAGAATGTCCTTGAGTAACAACAATCTTATCCAAAGAATGAAAAATAAACAAAAGGCTGCTGTGTGGCACTGAGCTGAACCGACCCACGGCTGCCTGTCCAGCGGGTCTGTGGAGGCAGTAAATCATTTGAGTGCCCATCCTTGTGCAGAGCAGTGGACACATCCAAAGCATGTGCCTTCAGGACCGCGATGCACCTTCCTACCACTAAGCTCAGAGCTCCTGCATTCCGAAAACATAATAACACACCTTCCTCCATCTCGCCTACTATGAATAACCGTCAAATGTTCCTGCAACCCAGGAACTCAAAATTTAAAAACCTCAGAGTGATTTTCACAATACGGTCGTACCATTAACCTGGTCATAAAAGTTACCAAATAAGACTGAAATGTACATGTCCAACTGAAGACGAATCTTAAGGACAGTCTCTCAAGCCTGGTCCTTGCAGTATTAAATCTTAAGATAAAAAGACTCTGTCAGGGGAGAAGGGAAGTCTGGAGAAAATTGCTAATAAGTAGGATAATTAATAAGAGAGCAAGATTTTACCATTAGCTTTTAAGAAATTGTCTTCTAGAAATAATTATTTTTTAATCTATGCCCATTATTCCCCTGTCTTTCCAAGACCTCACTGACTCTCTCCTGCTCCTTCATTCTCACCCACTCACCTCTGCTATCCTAGTGATTCCCCTCCTTCCCTCTTCTACTTGTCCCTTTTAAACCTTTATGTACATCTTGCTCCCAAATTCTGCTATTAGAGACGTCTTCAGAGTGCTGAAGAGCAATGATGTCAGTCTAGAGACTAAGGTGTGGTGGATCCAAGCCATGTTCTTCACCATTACTTGCTATGCATTAGAGAGCAGGACAATGACCGAGGATACAAAAGAAGCACTGATGCCTTTAGTTGTGGTGCTGGAGAGGAATACTGAACACACCATGGACTGCCAGGAGAACAAACAAGTCTGTCTTGGAGATGGTGAAAACAGGTTGCTGCTCGGAGGCAAGAATTTTGAAGCTCTGCCTTGGAGAGGGACATCATGTTTGGAAAGATGGAGGGACAGTACAGGAATAAAGGACTCAGATGAGTTGGATTGATACAATAACTGGAGAAATGGGGGTAGGTATGTCAGAGAAAGTGAGATTGGCTCAGGATAGGACAGAATTCAGAGCTATTGGACAAAGGGCACATAACAACAAAAACATGTATCTTCTTCAGTTATCCTTCTATTTTTACAATAACTGTATTACGCAGTAACTGACCTTATGACACTCAGTTACTTCAGTCAGCATAATGCTCTCTAGACTCTCCCATGTTATATGGTATTTTATAAAACTGCATTTACTTGCAATTGTGAATAATGGAGTAATAATAAGCATAGATCAAAAGTAATTCACTACATAAAGTACAATGTATATTAAATAATTATACAAAGTACCATATATATGAACCCAAAGTAAATGAAATATTATATTAAAGATAATGTACATGTATGAAACACAATGTATATGAATGATTGTATGCAAACCAATAAAAATATGAGAAGAGGCAAATATATGTTAGAATCTAAAAAAAAAAATAACACCAAGTCTCTTAAGGACAAT